CCTTCCTCTTTCTCGGCTGACTCCTTCATTTCTCTGTAGTGTATCCTGCAGCCACTCTCTGAGAAAGGTGGCCTCAGAGGTAAACTTTGACCCCGTGCACATCTTAGAGTATAGTGATTCTATCCTCACCATCTACATTCTGCCTACGTCTAGAACTCTAAGTTAGAAAACAACTCTCCACTAGGCTTTTGAAAGCATTGCTCTCTTTTCTTTGCTTTCAGAATGGTTATCTAGGTAATTTGGTGGGGACAGGTGACTTGGGGACTCTAATCTTCTGCCATCTTGCCCCTCCTCCTCTGCTTTCAGAATGAGTATTGGAATCTGAAGGCATTCCAGGTCCAAAACCTTTGTGTTTGTTCTCTCTGGGGACTGTAGGGTTTTCTTTGTCCCTGGTGTCCTGAAGTTTCCCAATCGTATACTGGTGCAAGTCTGTTTCCTTTTATCTGCTGGCCCCTCGTTCACCGCCCCATGCCCTCTAGAAACCTGTCCTTCAGGTTCTGGGAAGTTTTCTTGATTGTGTCTTTGATGAATTCTCCTCTGGTTCCTATTCTGCTTCTAGAACCCTTGTCATTCAGATGTTAGACCTCTAGCAACCTTTTCATTTTCTTATTTTCTCTCTCTCTTGTACCTTTATAATTTTGTTCAACTTTCTGTGAGGACTCCTCCCACTTTATCCCCCAACTCTTGTGTTTTTCATTTTAGCTATCCCATTTCATTTGCAATCCTCTTGCTCTGAGAGTTCTTTTTTAAATAGTATCCTATTGATATTTTAAGAATACAGTTTTACTGCTCTGAGGATATTAATCACTTTTCTGGGTTTTTCCCCCTCTACATTGTCTTTCTCTTCTGAATCTCGTGCTTTAATTCTTGATCTTTGAGGTAGCAGAGATATCTGATGTTATAATATGTAATAAATAATATCTTATGTGTGGCAGGTTTTGCTCCAAAACTTAGTGAAACTTGGTTGCCGGCTCATAGTTAAGAGTGGGCACCAAAGAGTCGATCGGAAGTCCTGAGCCTGTGCGTGTGGCTTCCAGTGACGGCTGGGCCTTGTCTTTGAGGGACCACCAATGTTACTTCCTTTGGATCTTTCCTCTCGGCCTGGTCATACTTCCAGAGAAGGCTCTTCCATTCTCCTGCTTCAAGGGGAAAGGGCGGCGTGCTGGGAACTGAGAGGATGTGAGGACTGGAGTCTGGGCAGAATGCAAACATCTGTTCACTCCCTGACCTCTACTTCCACTTTCAGTGCAGAGAAGAAAAGCCTAGTCTCCTCTGCTGGCAGCTGAGGCGGTGTTTCTGTCCAACTACTTGTCAGAGAGTCTTTGAAAACTTACCCAATCTTCTGCTTTGAGACCCAACCTTATCCTACTTCCACACCACCGCCAAGCTCACCTGATGCCAGAGGTTCTGCATGTGCATTCAGTGGCTTCTGTGGCTCCAATCCTCGGCTTCCTCCCCTGGTTGGGGTTTGGTTACCATGTGGCCTCCCACTTTCTCACCTCCCAGATCTTGTTCCTGTTTCCTATCTCATGATGGTCGTTTCTGTGGGCTGATGCCTTTCCGAAACTCCCTTTAGCCTTGTTGAAGTGGGGGTGAGGATAGGGCATGAGCAAATCTGAATGTTCAACCTGTTGTCCAGCCCCTTTCTTTCAGTAGCATTTATTTATTATTCATACATTTGGACACCTTTTCAGATGCTGTTGGCCTCTAGTCTCTGCCATCCCGCTGCTGTGACTTGGTTTGTTTGTTGCAATACAGGAGAATTAACGATAGTCACTGTGCTGTACATTTCATCCCTATGACTTACTAATTTTATCATTGGAAATGTGTACCTTTTCACCCCCTTCATCCGTTTTACACCCCTCCCCACCACCCCACTCTGTACCTGGTTTCCGTGAGCTTTGTTCTGTTTGGTGTGATTTTTGAATTCCACATATAAGTGAGATCATATGGCATTTTTCATTCTCTGGCTTATTTCACTCAGCATAATGGCCTCAAATCCAACCATGTTGTTGCAAAAGGCAAGATTTTATTCTTTTTTATGGCGGAGTAATGTTCCAATGTGTGCGTGTACACACCACATGTTCTTTATCCATTCATCCATCAGTGGTTGCTTCCATATGTTGACTATTGTGAACTGTGCTGCAGTGAACATGTGTCTTTTGTAACTCTTGGATAAACACCCAGACATAAAATTACTGGGTCATATGGTAGCTCAGGTCTATAATCCAGTTGGAATTAATTTTTGTGTGTGATGTAAGATAGTAGTTTAATTTCATCATTTTGTGTGTGACTGTCCAGTTTTCCCAACACTATTTATTGAAGAGACAGTCATTTCCCCCATTGTATATTCTTGGCTCCTTTGTTGCAAATTAATGGACCATTGATGCGTGGGCTTATTTCTGGGCTCTCTATTCCATTGATCTATGTGTCTGTTTTTATTCTAATACTGTACTATTTTATTATGATAGCTTGGTAATACAGTTTGAAAACAGAGAGTGTGATGCCTCCAGCTTTGTTCTTCCAAGTTTGCTCTGGCTATTTGGGTTTTTGTGTTTCTATGCAAATTTAAGATGGTTTGTTTTGTGAAAAATGCCATGGGAATTTTGCTAGGGATTGCACTGAATCTGCAGATTGTTTTAGTCAAGTATGGACATTTTAACAGTATCGATTTTCCAATCCACAAGCACTTTTTTTTTTCAACCCATGAGTGACTTTTATTTTAGGTCGTCCCCATTTCTCAGTGGAGTTGAACCTTCTTATTCAATACTAAGAACTTTTATTTTGTCCCCCCTCCCTGGATACCATTTCTATCTGCCCCCATTTTATTTGCTGGGGACATTTTTTTTTAGGTGCTGCAAACCTCTTCAGAGATTCCCCATTCTCTGTGCAGTGGCGGCTGAATCCGGGCCAGGTGGGCAATGAGGCTCACATGTGCAAAGCATGCTGCAGGTTCATCTGGTCCATATGCTGCTGGGGGCCACTTTGCTCTGCTCTTCATCACCAGCCTCTGTTGCCTCTGGCATCCACGAAGCATCTATTTAAACACCTGCACTCCTATCTGGATCCTGTTTTTAGTCTAAACTCTGCTCTGCCTCCCAACCTCACATCTTCAGGTGAGCGTGTCAAGTCACAGCACATCTCTGCTGCCTAGAGGGCAGCGGACTCCTCCCTCCGCTGGGCCATGTGCCCACCCCTGCCCCCGTCTCATGTCATTACTGTTCTCCCCACTCAGGGGCAGAGATGAGCACAGCTGTCCTCTTCCCTTCAGTCTGTCCTGCTGGCTGGTCCCTCAGAATGTGTCCTGGGGAGGAAGGGAACAGGAGGGAGCACCCCATTTTTTCAATCCTGACTTTTTCTTGCTGTAGCACTTGGAATCTATTTATGCAGAGGAAAGTAGGAGTGGGGGAAAGTGTGTCAGTTATCTACTGCAAAATAATGCTGTGTAACAAAAACAACCTCAACTCCTCTGTAGCACACAGCAAATGTCTCCTAGCTTTCAAATCTGCTGGATCTGCTCAACCTGGCTCTGCTCTCAGCTAGGGTGTAGCAGGCCCCGCAATTCAGCTAAGCCAGTACTGTCCAGTGGTTAGTGTGCATGAGAACCACCTGGGGAGTGTGCTTAGCTCCCAGACCCCGGGACACAGCACCCAAGATCCAATGGGACTGAATCCACCTCTCTAGGGATCATGCACATCTGCAAGTCCACTGGCTCCGGGCTGCTCCATAACCAGTGAGATGCCTCAGCTCTGTACATATCCTCTTATACTCCCTCAGCATGTTCTCCTGGCAATCACAGAGCCTCTGGCCAGATTGAAAAAGCCCCTCTGAAACCTCTGTTTGCATCATACTTGCCCAGAGCCCAGAGCCTGGAGCCCGAGTGGGTCACCTGGGACAGGGCTATAGAGAAAGAGAAGAATCAAGGCCTTGAATGCAATCAGCTTCCCTGGGAAATGTGGAAGAAAACTGACTCACACTTGGGCTGTGCTCCCCAAGTCCATTCTCATTCCCCTGTTCTTGGTACATCTGTGGGTGCATCTCTCCCCAGGCTCTGTTCTGAACTCTTCCTTCAATACCTGCTTGCTAAGGACTTCAGGGTGGTTTCCTGAGCACAGCTGAAGCCTCCCCACGTCTCTCCCTGCCTGCTGCATCCTCCATAGTTTTAAGGGCTGTCACCTCTCCCATAAGTCGCTGCTACAACCCCTCTTTATCCTCTCTCTGTGGCAAAACTCTTCTAGGCTGGTCTCCACTTGTCAGCGGGAGTGCATTTCTGAAATAGGGCCCTGACTTTGGCACACTTCTGCTTATCACTTACTGACCTTCTGAGGAAGGTTCCAGGAGGGGGGCACCTGGTCTGGGGGATATGTTGAGAAGGTGGAGGGGTTCCTCCTCCCTCTCCAAGGAAAGCCCCTCATCCTGCACATTTCCATTGAGTTTCTGACTATTGCAAGGGAGGAACCGACTTTTTTTTTTTTTTTTAATTTATCATCTTTTTTTCTTCCTTGCACCAACCCAGGTCTCTCTCGAGCCTGGCCATTCATCCTCTCAGGTTCTTGTTTTCCACGTTGGGTGGGGGCTGGGGGTTCATAAGGACAGGAAAGGACAACTTAACCCAAAGAAATGCTACATACTCCCCAAGCCTCAACTCCACCCGAAGCTAGTTTGTGCTGTTGGCTCTCTCCTGATGCCCCTGGCCCCTCCCCAGGCTTGCTACACACCCCCTTCCTGAACCCCTATTTCTCTTCCAGCCTCTGTCCATCCCACAGGTGTGGAGGCAGGACGCCAAGCTGGCCACATGTAACCAGGCTTGGGGAAGAAGAGAAAGTGTCCTGTTTGCAACGGGGACAGCCTCTCAGGAAGAAGCGATGCAGAAACACATGCCCCTGGCCTCCCAGCCCTGAAAGGAAATCCAAGTATCTCCAGCTGCCTCTGGGGCAGGCATGAAGCTTCTGTGTCCATGTGACACAAACACACAAACCCCCTGTGCTGTCCACCCCTGCATGGGGTACCCAGCCCCTTGGAGTTACCCGTGGGTGCCCATTGGCAGTCCTCTCTGGTTAGGGCATCCCCCTCCAGCTGCCCCAGCACCTTCAGTCTGGCCCTGGGGCTTCTCCAGCTTTGATCCCCAAGTGCGAAGCCAGCACCTGGCCACCATGGCCCCCAGGGGATTTCCTTGCCCCCGGGGACCCCCACCCCCATGCTCCTCAGTCCCTCTGGCTCTGAGCAGGGACGCCTCTGGCTACTCTCCCCAGGTGGGATGGCAGGCTCCTGCCAGCTCAGCCTTCCCAGCTGCCGTGGAGAGACCGTCCAGAGGAGCTTCTCACTTGAAGAGGTGCCAAGCCCCTCCCTCAGAATGGGCTTCCAGGTTCAGCATTTGGGCCCCTGCACCACCCTCCAGCCCAGAACTCTGCCCCCTGCCCCCCTCCCCCAGTACAGACTCTCCACCTGAGCCCTGCTGTCCCCACTGCCCTCGGCCACCCTGCAGGGCCTGCTGCCATCTCCTCCAGTGCTACTCAGTCAAGTCCTCTGTCACCTGCCCCAACTGTGGGAGATGTGTTGCATGATGCCTGGTGAGCCACAGGTCTGCCTAGACTCTACTTTTTTAAAGGATCTCAGATGTTAAGCTGTTCCATGTTCTTCATTACATAGCACACTCTCGTTGGCCCAGGCAAGGCCCATCTATTTGTTATTTGTTATTTCTTTTCACTTTTATTTTCTTCCCCCTTTGCCCTCCAATCCTGCTGCCTGCACCTTTTCCTCTGCCCTGTCTTTGTCATGAGCCTGCATCACAGTATATTTGATGTGGGTCCTCAAATATGAGAGTGCACAGCCTAGTAAAGTGAGTGCTTGGGCTTTGAAATTACACACATGACCTATTATAATAGGTCCCATTATATATATTATAATAACTCCCATTTCTTTGCTCTTTATCAGTTGACCCAATGTTTACAATCCACCCACCAAGCTGTATGTACATTTAGTTCATGGCTCAAGACCACTCTGCAGAAGGTCAGAGTATGGCCCACCACTCTTGGCTGGAAAAATGACCTGGGGAGATGGGAGTTACCGGTTGGAAAGGGAAGTGCTCTCCATTTATTTAGGACCAGGCACACTTAGGGAAATGAGGAGATCTGGGTTTGGTGGAGGGAGTGGGTGATTGGGTGAGTAAGAAAGCAGGACATTTGGCTGGCACTAAGATGGTAAAAGAGCAGAGAGCTGGCTGGAAGACCCATCCACATGGACGCGGGTTTGCAAAGCAATAGAGCAGGAGAAGCAGTGAAGCTGCTAGGACAGCTGCAGAATCACAAGCCACGAGGAGAGAGGACCGTGGCCAGGGGAGCAGCAACAGCAGACTCTGATGTGACCTTCAAAGGACAGTGGCGTGGAACCAGCCATGGGGGACAAGGAGCCCCTGTGGAACCATCAAAAGAAATGGTTGCTGGAGAGGACATCAGGGGAGCGGTGTCCCCAGGAGAGCCAAGGTGCCCTTTCCAGTGGGGATGCTGCTTCCACTTGACACATCTCCCTAGGGAACACCTCAAAAACATTTGGGGGAATTTCTGATGATGTTGGAAGAGCATTACTGACTTCTCATGGGCGGGACTGTAGAACTAAGCAATTTATACTGCGTAGGTGTCCATCCCATTGGAGAACTGCCCTTACCTGTCACTTTGTCCCACTGAGGGCTCATGGAGGTGAGAAACAGAGGATAGTTAATTGGAGCCTAGTAGCGAACTCATTTTACAGAGAAATCAAGTATATTTGCATCGTTCTAATGTGCATTCTACACTATCGACTGTGACCTCCCCTCTCATTTTCCTGTAATTTTTTTTAATGGAAATGGCTCTGACAATATTTCTCAGACCCTGACTTCTTTATCATAGTTTGACATCTGATGCCATCATGGCTTCTAGGAAGGCATACCCAAGTACCTACACAGTGAAAGACTGATTATTTACAAGTGTGTTGACCTTTTAAAATATATGTAAGTTATAATCCATGACTTGTTTTTTAATTGTCAAAGTCTAGGTTTCCAGGAAGTTGCAAAGGCCTCGCAGGGAGGTCCCAGGCACTCTTCACTCACCTTGTCTTACTCCAGGCCAACAGCACACCGGGCAACTGAGGTTGGGGCCCCATGGCTATAGTTCTGGGTGATCAGGCCATTCATGTAGCTTTCTGTAACCACTGCCTCCATCAAGACACACAACCATTCTCCCATGACAGAGATCTCTCTTGTACTAGCCCTTCCCCTTGCACCATCGTCCCTGACTCTTGGTGACCATTAGTAAATTCTCTGTACTTCCAGCATTTTGAGAACATTGTATAAATAGAGTCCTACAGCATGTGAGACCAGTGGCGTTTAATGTAATTATTGCTATGTTAGTGTTTAAATCTGCTATTTCATTTTTAGGTTTCTACTTGTTCTCTCTGGTTTTCATTTGTTTTCTTTTACCTGCCTTCCCAAGGATTATTTGAACATTTATCTATAGTGTTTTTGAATCTCTCTCTCAAAAGAAGGGCAGAGGGAGAAGGAGAGAGAATCCCAAGCAGACTCCATGCCCAGCGTTGAACCCAACAGGGGCCTCGATCTCACAACCCTGTAATCAGGACCTGAGCTGAAATCAAGAGTCTGACATTTAATCAACTGAGCCACCTAGGTGCCCCTGAATGTATCTCTTTATATAGATTTTTAACAAAACACACATTGTTCAAATTGTTTTCCTCTTATAGGTTAGGTGTCATTTCTCTCTCACTGCTTTTGAGATTTATTTTTTAATCTTTAGTTTTCAGTACTTGGACTACGATGTATCTTGCTGTGGATTTTTTTTTAATTTACTTCATTTGGGATTGCTCAGCTTCTTGAATCTGTATGTTTCTGTCTTCTGCCAAATTTGGGGAATTTTCTGCTGTTATCTCTTTGAGTACTATTTCAGCACCACTCCTCTCCTGGTTCTCCAGTAACCCAAATGTTAGATCTTTTGTTAAAGACCCACATATCCCTAAGATTTTGTGCATTTTTTGGCCTCACTGTTCAGACCAGGTTGTTTTCATTATTCTATCTTTGAGTTTATTAATTCTTTCCTCTGTTCTCTCCATTCTACTTTGAGCCCATCCATTGAAGTTTCTTTTTTTTTAATTTCAGTTATTTTTGAGTTCTAAAATTCCCATTTAGTTCCTTTTTTATATCTTCCATTTCTTTGCTGATGCTTTCTATTTTTGTTTCAAGTGTGTTTTTATTTGCAACAAGATACATTAAATGGAAACCAGGAAGAGCAATGACAGGATTAAGTCCTAACAATAATAAAAGTGTATTTAGGGCAGTGGCTTCAAAGGGTCAGATAACTTCCACATCCATGTCCTCTTGTGTTTAGTATGTTGACTGCATTTTTTTTGTTGAGATGGAGAATCTGGTTCTTAGCATGAAAAGTGATTTTCAGTCATATCCTGAACATTTGGGGTGTTATGCCATGAGACTCTGGTCTTATTTAAAGCATCTGTTTTAGCTGACACTAGGTCACTGGCAGAAAAGGGGGGTTGCCTTGTTATGGCCAGATGTGGAAAGAGGTTCAGTTTCCCTACCTGGCCATTCTTGATGGTGGGTGCCTTGTTCCCACCTCCACCCAGGGTGCGAGCAGGTTAGGCTCTCCTAGGCCTCCATGGATACCACCTTGCTGCACAGGACAGGGACACCTTGCTATCACTAGGCAAGGGTAGAAGTCTGGGCTCCCCATTTGGCCTCTACTGGTGGGGTGGGGCTATGGTTTATTCCTCATGGTGCTCACCTGGCGGATGGTGGTATTTGTGGTCTTCCTTGGCACACCTGTGTTCATTACCTTTGTATACCCTTGCTCTATATTTCCTTCACCTGAATGGAATCCCCTCCCTTTCTCCTGTATGACAGTGCTCCTTGCATAAATTCTGTCTTGTTTAGGTACGATCACCTCAAATTTGTTTTCATTTCATACTTGCATAGTTGCATCACTTTGTACTCTTCCTTTCTGAATCCTCATGCTTTGGGTATTCCTCCTTTAGATGTGTTGCTGAATCAAGTTTTTAATGACTTGAAGTAAGTTTACATTTCTTGTCATTATTGTTAGGAGTCAATCCTGTCATTGCTCTTCCTGGTTGCCTTGTTCTGCTCACTTCTCCCTGGATACATCTGGTTTCCTTCTGCTGGTTTGTATTCTCAGTTTTCAGGAATAACCAGGAACTTTGAAGCCCTATATTGTGTCTCTCTCCCTGCCTGTTTCCTAAGCTTACCATCATCTCTATCACCTTGTCAACAAAACCATTCCTTGAGCATACTTTCAGCCCCGCAGACCTGTAAGCATCTAGACTCTTCCTTCTGGATGTTTATAGATTTAGTGCTATGTCTCCCTCCTTCTCCCTTCAGATAAAAGTAAGTTTTATTAAGTCCTTGACTTGTTCCAACCCCATCCTCTGACTCAAAAAACCCTTTATCTTGCCATATTTCCCCCATGTGTTTCCTGAGATGGTCTGTGTGGGCCGGGCCCTCTGCACTCCTAGGCTGCCCTCATGGTTCATGATCACGCAGCTGAAAGATGCACTCAGGTTTCAGTGTGTCTTCCATCAGCACTTTGAGAATACAGCAGACCATTGAGTACCACAGGTTTGAACCACCCGGGTCCACTCAGGTCCAGATTGGGTATGATATGATGCCATATAAATAGTCTCTCTTCCTCATGATTTTCTTAATTTATTTCTTCTCATTACTTTACTTTATTGTGAGAATATAGTGAGTGTATCGTGTGTACAATGTACAAAATATGTGTTAGTTGGCTGGCTGTGCTATTGCTGAGGCTTCCAGTCAATGGGGGGCCTTTAGTAGTGAAGTTTCCGTTGGTGTCAAACATTATACGTGGATTTTCACCTGCATGAGGGGGTTGCTGCCGCCGACACTCACATTGTTCAGGGGTCCACTGTGTGCTTTCGTCTTCATGCCTGCCATGGGGGCGGGGAAGCCACAGTGCCCCTAGTCCAACTTCTCGTGGGTGGGAGAGTGTTTCTCCCAGGAGCCTCTTGAAGGTGTTTTCCTACTTGAGGATAGTAAAGCTCCTCATCAGGGTCACCTAGGAGGCTCAGTGGTTGAGCGCCTCCTTCGGTTCAGGTTGTGATTACAGGGTCCCAGGATGAGTCCCGCATCGGGCTCCCTGCATGGAGCCTGCTTCTCCCTCTGCCTGTGTCTCTGCCTCTCTCTCTGTGTCTCTCATGAATAAATAAATAAAATTTTAAAAATAAATATCATGTGTTGGCAGGGTGGGTGCTTTTATTTTCCATCCTTCTGTTTCTCGATCTTTAATTCTAGACAGTTGTGGTCATTGTATCTTGGAACGGTATCTTCTGCTCCATCAATGTTGCGTCTTCCACTGAAATCCTAACACATGGGTTGTTGGAGGGCCTACCCTCCACATCTCTGAACTTCTCTCTTCCACAGATTCTACCTCTCTTCCTCCCGCCTTCTGAGTGTGCTCCTCTACCCCATCTTCCGGCTCATTAAGTCTGTTTTTCCGATCTATTAAGGCATTCATTGTTTCCATTTATT